TTGTTGTTGTGTGTGTGTGTGTGTGTGAGAGAGAGAGAGAGAGAGAGAGAGAGAGAGAGAGAGAGAGAGAGAGAGAGAGAGATTACCTAAGGGTTCTTGGCATTACAGCAGGTACTCCTGTCTTGGGATAGTCGACTGCCACAGAAAAGAGCTTAGCAAGCTCGATGCATTTCGGGTCGTGGGTCTTCAACGGACTGCTGTCAGCGTGTGCCACATGTGCGTTGGAGATTATACCAAGGTTGTCGCTAAGCATATGGTTGACGAAGAATACTTGGAGATCCTGGGAGCCCACATCACCACAAAAAGGGGCATGCATGGTTAAGTCATGGTAACCTCGGACCCGGACACCGGACACTCCCGGACTGTCTTCTGGACCAGTGTCTGGACCGGTCCGGACTGTCCAGTGAACCGGACATCACCGGACACCCGGACATAACGGACCCGAACAGTCCAGACCGGTGTCAGAGGGTGCAAAATGTCCAGAAAAAAAAAAGAGGACGGCAGAGGGGCGGGGGGGGGGGGGGAGCTATTGGCAGGAGGCACTGTCCTGCTTTGCACTTTGTAGTTCAGGCAGCAGAGCACCTGTTTTCCAGCAAATCAACAAGCACATTCAACTCGCAGACATGCACTGTTGCAAGCAGTGCAAGGCAGGCACAAGACTAAGGAAACAGAGAAAAAAAAAATGAAAAAACTTCAAAAAAGTATGATTAACTTCGAACTTTGAACTTTGAATTTTGAATAAAGTAACTTTTAAGTTCATAGCTTCATATATAACTTTTTTTTTTTTTTTTTCAGTTCAATTCAGACCGAGAGAGTCTTCAGACTGGCAGCACTGTCAGTGCTCTCTCTCTCTCTCTCTCTCTCTCTCTCTCTCTCTCTCTCTGTGTGTGTGTGTGTGTCTGTGTGCAACGGGCCGCAGCGGCTGGCGGCACGTCGAAAGGGCCGCTTTGAAATTGCTTGGGCCTGTGTGAAACCCGCCACCCCAGAAACCTGCAGTGTCTTGTGTCCGGCCCTCTAGGCCCTCTCCGGTGGGGTGAAACAACACTGAAAAAACACCCCATTATTTTTCAAGGGGCGGCCAGGACCCGAAAAACGTCCTGGGCCGCCCCTTTATTTTTTTCAATTTTTGCCCTGGGGGCCTCCATCCGGACATAAGGACCGGACACCGGACACCGGACACCGGATATGTTGTTCTAGACTGTCTGGAACCCGGTCCGGACGTCCGGTCGGTTACCATGGGTTAAATCAGTTCTTTTGTTTTTGAGACTCCGGAAAAAGGATCTCAGACCTGTGCTACCAGGGTGGGCGGGGGAGGGGGGTTGCCAGGTTACCCACCAGGGCAGGCCTGGCCAGGAGGGGTCCAGGCAGCACCCTGGGTAGTCCCAGCGGAAATATTTCAAAAAAACAAGAGCAAAAAAAAACAAAACTATAAGAAAAAACTTAAAATTATAAAATAATAAAATATCATATAATGCAAGGAAGATTTTCATGACCGGCTGGTCACCCGGGCGTGACGCCCGGGATACCCGGGCATGGGAAAAAAAAAAAGTTAAAAAAATTGGCGGTGGCGTCGGTGGGGGTTTTCCGCACTCTCCGAGAGGAGCCCAAATTCGGGCTCTTTTCTTTTTTTGAGTTTTGGCTGTCAACGCGGGAGAATGGGAGTATAAATGAATTTTAAAGAGGCTAAAGGGGTTGAAAGGGGGTTTCTTTTTTTTTCTTTTTTTTTTAAAGCAATCTGAAAACTTGTGAAAAAATTCAGAAAAAATCCAGAAAAAAATTAGAGAAAAAGTCCTTTGAATGCTCAGAATCCCTGGAAACCCTCACAAAACACTATAAAATTCTCTAACACTGTCTAATTCCCTGCCGGGCTCTCCCAGGGGGTTCCTTAGTGTGATTTGGTTATTTTCTTTTTTATCTTCAGTTCCGTGAGGAATTCTGATGTGACCCTCAGCGGGATCGCAAGGGGGCAGCTGCAGATAAGATGCGCTTAGCCAGAACTTGCTGTTGGGTATGGCGGAGGTGGAGAGATGATAGAGCGTGTGGGCGCTGAGGTGGAGGCTGCTTCGAGGGAGGACAACCGTGCACCTGCCATAGCCTAATGTTGGCCAACGAAAGTTGGTAATTCTAGATTGGCCTTCAAGGAAGGAGAGAGATGTGGGGTCAGTCAACGGGCAGGATCTGTGCATCGTACATATCAGTATTACTACCTGATCAGGGGCTTTGCCCGCTGATTATAGATATGGAGAACGATTGCATTGCTGGAGCGGATGCAGTTTTATCTGGATGAAGAGCTGGAGATGAGGGACGAGAGTGCATCGATAAACATCGACATCCGGGACACAGATGACGGACTTCCAGAGGTGGGCAAATTTTTTTTCCTCACCCTCGACCCAACCCGCCCAATTTTTTGTTTCCCTATCCACCCGGCCCAAAAAAATTATTTTTTACTTTTAGACAACCCCACCCACCCAAAATATTTTCTGAAATTTCAGCCCCACGCCCGATCCGCCCGTGACCCGAAAAAAACCCTCACCCACACCCGCCCGCACCCATAAGAGTATCATCACCCGCCCGCGTCCAACACCTAAATTTTCTTCACCCGCACCCACCCGCCTCAGCCCGCACCTGCCCATGCCAGTCCCTTACACCATCACGATTTCATTTGCAACATAGCATTGCAACAAAGACATCTAAAATCCTATTATTAAAAAACGACAACATCAACAATGCGACTCGAACTTCTCAAAGGAAAATATTTCAAGATTTGTTTTKTKTGCCCAGGGGCAGCTGCACTGCGTTCGCAACGGCGTTACTTCATCAGGGGACCTGGTCAACTGAATCAGACACTATACAACCTCAAGCCCGACGTACAGGTCATCCTGGGTCTATGGGTTGGGTGACCCAGGCCAAGCCATCACCCGCCTGCCACCCACCCAACGGGTGACCCAGACCAAATCTTAACCCCCCCGTCACCCAGAAAGGCATGCTGGCTGCGACCGCCCATAACCCACCCAAGACGGCTCATGTAGACCTAAATCCGACCCATCACCCTGTGGGTCGGGTGGGTGCAGGTGGGTGCGGCTCTGGGCGCCCGGTGCCCAGCTCTGCGGACTTCATTTCGGGATCGGTATCGTCCACCGTCGCTGACAACGGACTTCAAGCTGTGAGCGGGGTTGTCCACTGTTGCCTTTGCTCCTACTTCGGGCGGGGTGACAAATCATTGACTGTGTTTGTTTCCCTAAATGGCAAGCGTTGTGCTCTGTGTGGTGAGTATAGATGATTGTATTCTCCTAGATTCTAACCGTTAGGCTAAGTCCTGTTAGTATATAGTACCGGTCACGGTTGTTCGGGGCGTGTAATTGGCACTTTGTGGACTGGTGATTCAACACGTAGGGTGGTGATAGTTTTAATTAGGGTTGGTGTCCATTGTGTTAGTGCTTTTAAGATGATTGCCGAAGTGTTACATCGTTGTTAGCCCGTGGGCAAATCCATAACACGATTGGGGATTTTGTTTGTGTTCTTGGTTGGTAGCGGGTATAAGTAGGATGAAACCATTGAATATCTTGTTTACGTGTTTTTGGTTGGTAGTTTGTTATCTAGCTTGGATTCCACTAGATTAGGGTTGTTTGATAATAGTGGTTTGGAGAAGGGGTAGATTAGGAATTGACTTTTGTTGAATTAGGGAATCTGAATTTGGTTTTAGGGTTGGGATTGGGATTGGGATCATCGGTTTTGTAACCTTGTGGGGCTGTGGTGGGGATAGGTTTGGCCGGGAGTGCCTTGCTTAGCCAGTTTGACCGCATCATTTGGGGTAGATTAGGAATTGACTTTTGTTAAATTAGGGAATGCGAATTTTGTTTTAGGGGGATTGTGAAACGGTTTTCACCTTTGCAGAGGCAGATGCAGATCCCGGGGTTTGATCCCCAGACCTTACCTCACCCATGTACAGTATCGAGTTGCCCTCTGAGTGTTTGAAACCGTGACCTGTGTTTCGTGAGTTGTTGTTTGTCTGTCGTAGGACCGTGTGTATGTAGGGATTCGATCTGTAGACCTGTTGAGTAGAGATCTTAGAGAGTTCCAGAAGTCGTAGCTGTAGATGTCCTGAAGGGTCAAGGTCGTAGCTGCTACAGTCCTGAAAGGTCAAGGTCGTAGCTGCTACAGTCCCGAAAGGCCAAGTCCACAGACTTCCGGAAGGTCAGGAAGTGGCCTTTCGCAGCTTGCTCACGTTTTAGACTGAGGCAAGTGGGCAAGTGGGCAAGTGGACAAGTGGGCAAGTGGTGGACAAACTGCAGTACGTTCGCAGTACGATGGCGGTAGGTTAGCAGTAGGTCCCCAGGCAGTCCACAGTGCGGTCCAGTCAGTCCCAGTCCAGTCCAGCAAGTACGATGGGGGACTGTGTGTACCATGGGCCGATGGAAAGGGGGCAGACCAACGAGTTACAGGAGTATAAATCAAGAGGCAGCGCACAGCGATTCATTCATTCCTGCGGAAGCCATGCGGAAGCGCTGCCACTGCCACGGTGGCTTGTGCGAGGTGGTCTGCAGAGGAGCCTGAAGTCGGAGTGGGCTGAAGGAGTTAGCGCAGCCATAGCTGCTTGTAGGGTAGTGTTAGTGGCGGCCATAGCTGCCATAGCTGTTAGTGTAGTGTGTGTACAGTGTGTGTGCGTGGGGTATCCAGGGTGATCCGGAGTTGGAGTGTGAAGCGAACAGTGGTGTTGGACACAGTGACAAGAGTTGCGATGTGTGGGTGTCGATGCACCATAGCCTGTTGAAGCGAGCTTACATCTGAACTGTGTCTTGGTTTCCATATCTTCGAGCTTTGAGCTGGGCGCTATGCGCCAGTGTGATTCACCATCTGTTTGAATGCATGTGAAGTGACGAAGTATGCGAGTCTGATTGCAGATTGGGATCATTGGTGTCGTAACCTTGTGGGGCTGTGGTGGGGAAAGGTTTGGCCAGGAGTGCCTTGCTAGCCCGTTTGACCGCAGCAAATGATGTGAGGGACACCTGGCCCGTTTCCCAGCTATATGAATATGGAATTTTTCTTTAAAAAATGAATAAAATAAAAATAAGTTGTTTGTAGTGCAATTCTACACAACGTTTTTTTTTTTCCAGATTTTTTCGTTTTTTCTTTTTGTGCTGGGGCTGCCCTGGCCCATGCCCGGGGCTCATGCCCGGCCAGTCACCCAGTCGCCAAACCGGCCGTGACGTCGGGACCCGGCCGCCCAGGATATCTCCCTAGATATATTGCGCAAAATTTGTATTGCGCAGTGCGCACAACTCTTTTTCGTCTATTTTTTTTTTATTTTTTTTTTAAGGCGAAGGCCTTGAGGTATCGCCGTTCAATTGACCCACCCCCCAGGTCCCCAGGTAATTCAGAATATTCACAATTCATGCTTAGGCCCGTTGGTTGCGAACACCTTTTTTTTTTTTTTTTTTTTTTGAAGTTGCATTTTTATTACTTATAGAAACAAAGAATAAGGCCGGGAATCCCTCAACATCTCAACCCGGAAAAGAACTGGGGCCCTTAGGCTGACGGCTGGAAACCGGGTCCAGCGTACCTTTGTCTGCAACTTTGAAAAAAGGAATAAAACTGGACGACAACAACAAACATCAAACAGAAAGAAAGGAGCGAGCTACAGTTACGAGAACAGGTCAGCTATGGTAGACATTGGGTAGGATGGCATTGCCTCTGAGATATAATGTCCTGGTACAGGGAAGGCTAGGAGTTGTTTTAGGATTAGGAGGCCAGAATTGCTGATATAACAGAGCCTTCTATATTTTTCATCATCATCATCATTAGTATGATCACAGTTTATCATCATTATCATGATATGAGGGACGCTGAGCCCGGTTCTCAGCAAATTCGGTTCAGTCACTCCGGGTAGACTGTGAGGACCCTGGCCTCAATCTTCTTATTGGTCATATCAGCCTTGGGCACTGGGCCCATTTTGGGGGGGGGGGGGGGGAAAAAAAAAAAAAAAAAAAAGTGAGCTACAGTTACTAAATATAGCGAACAACGTTTGGCCAAGTGGTCACCTCGAACTTCTTCATTAAACTAACCAGTTCGTCTCCCGTCCATTTTTCGACAACATGGCTACAGACAGCAGCAATGCATGCGTGCTGCGTCTGGCAGGATGTACCGGGGCGTTGGTCCGTATCAAATACATCCAAGCAAGAGTTGGTTGCAAACAACGTTTAGCCAAGGGGTCACCTCGAACTTCTTCATTAAACCACCGGTACGTTTCCCAGCCATTTTTTCTACAACATGGCTACTACGGCATGGCCGCGTGAGCGCTGCGTCTGGCAGGATGTAGCGGGGTGTTGGTTCACATAAAACACATCCAAGCAAATCAGGCCGAATGCAACACCCATCTTGCCTGGAGGAATGTTCTACAAAGCGGCACCCCCGTACATCCCCCCCGAAGCGGGCGCGCATGCAGCCGCGTCGTCGAAAAATGGCTGGAAAACGTAGTGGTGATTTAAGTTCGAGTCTTTGAGATCAAAATAGGATAGAAAACGACAGTTCTCTTACCACCACCGGGATACAGGCCTTGCACAAGGGCTTTTTCTTTATGAAAAAAAAGGATAGAAAATGACAGTTAAACCACCAGTACCTTTCCCATATATCAGCCGTGGGCAGTTTCCGAGGCCCGGAACGAAAAAAAAAGAGGCCGCCCATGAAACTGTCGTTTTCTGTGCGGTGGATGCAGGTTGGAAATAGCCCAATCTGCTACTGGTCGTCTCTGAGTAATCAGGGTGTCCTCTATGGCAGCAGTTGGGGGTCTGTAGTTAGATCCTTGGCACATTGCGGGTGGGGGCCTTGGTCTAGTTAGGCTAGGTCTAGGTAACCAGCTATAGGGGTTCGACTCACGACAAGTTGAAAGTAACACAGTTGAAAGTGTAGTCTCTGTGGTTAGGTGTCCCCGAAAATGTGGATCCTCTAAGTCATCCCCCCACTGGTTGAACATGCAAATCAGACACTTCCCGAGGCATAGAGCCCAGCCGCTACTACCACATGGATCTTTAAGGGGGGAAAAAAAAAAAAAAAAAAAAACCTGTCGTTTTCTTTCTTTTTTTTTTTTTTTTTTTTTTTTTTTACCAATACAAAGATTGAGGCCGGGGTCCTCGCAGTCTACCCGGAGTGACCAAACCAAATTTGCTGAGAGCCGGGCTCAGCGTCCCTCATATGATGATAAAGATAATGATGATGATGATGATGATGATGAACTTCTGCTGAGAACTAGGTAAGTGCCTCTTCACCCTTACAGGGCGCCAGATCCTCATGATTAGTAAGCACATCACTCGCTTTCTAACATAAATCATTTTGTCTATCCAAACCAAGACACTGGCACAAGACAATTATTTGGCGGGGGAAGAAATCAGGGAATTCAGAGAAGGGTCGTAAGGGAATGGAGGGATCTACAGTGGTCCAGTCATTAAAGACCAGTCGATAGTTCTTCTTCAGTGGAGTTTGAGTCTGTGAGGAACCACCTTCCCAGATTACCTTCCCCAGCCTCCCACCCTGGTAAATTCCAAGCCAACTTTTATTAAATTCTTTTATGCGACGCCATATCTCCTTGTCATCAGGAGGCTGAATCCTTGAACGCCTGCAGGATTGGGTCATCACCTGCTTCAGACGCGGCTGCTTCACACAAAGACTTAGCGGGCGGCCAGGCAGGTAGGTGGGCGGGTACACAGCAACACAGCAAAGCACTCAGAGAGGTACGGACTACCATCTTCACCCGAATAGAATGACTGGTCATGATCGCTGCATCTGGACTGAAAGTTGGCCAAAATACAGCTGCAATGACCGGGCGCTCTATTCGGGTGAAGACAGTAGGCAGCAGTGGAGCATACAGCAAGGCAAGCAGATGAGCGGGCAGGTCGGTAGGAGGGTGGGCGCACAACAACGCAGAATGGCATGCAGCACGGCACACAGCAACACAGGAATGGACACGGGAAGGTACGTTGGAGCGCAACCACGACACAGAAACACACGGATGCGGACTATCACCTACTCGCATCCTATGGAAAAAAATCTGCAGACTGTAGGTTCATGTCACCCTCAAGAGCCAGGGAATTGAAAGTCGAATGTCTGTCACGACCAGGAAAAAACACACAGACACAGGCATCCAAAACACAGAAGCCGCCCTAATTGTGTTGCAGGCACTTCTAACAAATGGCATTGACTATTTGGCACATTGTGAAGGTGCTGCACTTAGACACTGAAGAGAACACAGGAAAACCAGATAGACAAACAAACGAACAATGTGCATGTGAATGTGTCTGTCTGTATGTGCCTTTTAGACTGCCGCGACAACAACCCCTTTTTTCACACAGATGAGAAGATCCGAAATTGAAACAGC